TTATTAAGTAAAAATGAATAATAATAATAATAATAATAATAATAATAATAATAATAATAATAATAATAACAATAACAATAATAATAATAATAATAATAATAATAATAACAATAATCCTTACAAAATTTTAAATATCCAATACCAAGGAGGGGTTGTAAAAAGAGCTACACATTTTTTTGTCCTTTGTAAATTTTTGGAAAGACTTTTTGTGTGTATTAAATTTACTTACCTCTGAAGCTGTGCTGTAGCTTTGGGGTGTAGTCAACCTCCTATGTCCTGCAATTCAATTTTGCTAAAATTTAACTTTGAAATAAAATTATATATTCAACTCAAAGACACTTCCTTATTATTATTATTATTATTATTATTATTATTATTATTATTATTATTATTATTATTATTATTATTATTATTATTATTATTATTATTATTAACATTATGTCACATTAATCGATCTTAACGACCGAGTATATATATTGATTAAATGTTCGAGCTCGACTTTCCTTAATTTACCACGTGTAAGAAATAAAAAACAACAATGTCATCACGTTAACACTGCATGAAATTAACCAAATCATAAAATTAATTATCATATTAAATTAAAAAAAAAGTTTACCCGATTGTTTCGAATAGCGCATTTTTTCCTCGGCCGCCATCCGGCGCCTTTTCTGCCTTTCTCTAGCCTTATGGTTTTGAAACCAATAGAACACATTCTTTCCCTCGACTTTTCCGAATTTCCTAAGCTTCGCGGTGATCTGTTGTATTTGTTGGGCTGAGGGTGTTTTAATCCCGTGTCGATACATTCCTTCGAGTGCTTGCACTTGCTCGGGAGTCGGGTTCCATCTCGAGCTCACCAGTGGCTGCATTCTGCTTGTATATATCTCCCTTTTACCTCCATAATCACCTGAAAAAAATAAAATTGCTATCACCCCATTATAAATTACCCAAAAAATAAAAAAAAAAAGATCGATAACAATTAATGACACGATAATATTGCTTACCTAGAGTTAGTGTTTTGTTCCATATTGAAGGGATGTTAAGGTTGTGAGGAGGGTTATGATGATGATGACAACGAGTTGGTGTTGCGAAGAATGTATTGCTCGGAAATGGCTTCGGGTCGTTTAGGGTACGGGTCGAAAAATTCGAGTCTTGGACATTATGGTTATTACATTCTACTATCCACATACTTTGGCTTGTTTGTGTGATAGCTAGAGAATCTAGGAGATTTTAAGGAAAGATTATTGAAGGGAGAATTTGAATAAAATAAGGTGGACTTGATGATGAATGAAATGACCTAACATGGTATATATATATATAGGATATGATTAAATATGAATTAATATAATATTGGTAGTAAATAATAAATATATGCATATATGATTATGTGATATGTCAGAGAGAATTCTCAAGGCCCAAGATGGATGTGTATACTGACTGGTATGTATGAATGCATGTATGGTCTTTTCTTTCGTGAGTTTTCAGAGAGAGAGAGAGACTTGACGAGGAAACAAAAGGGAGAGATTGCACAGATTGAGCTTGTTTTGTTTTGTCCTTTTTTTTGTTTCTTTATTTATATTGTGTCCGAAAGGATTAGGGCTGCACAAGAATCGAGGGGCTCATGAGCGCTCGGGTCAAAGTTCCTCGAGTTTGACCGTGAAGAAACGAGAGTTGACGGGTGCGATGTCACGGACGTGAAGAGTACCAAAGCAGGGTGAACCTAGATGAGTCTTAGTGGGGGTTCATCCTAAAACCAATTGGTGGTAGGAGGAGTAACCCACTAGGCTATAAGTTAGGCCTATTTTCCCCGTATAGACGATGTATGAAAACTCACAAGTGCATATTATAACAAGCTCTCTCACTTGTGAGTCCTTTATGTGAGGCCCAAGCCCAACTGGGCTGGGTGACTTGTACGTCATTGCACGGTCCACCCAACTGACCAAACTCAAGTCCAACTCGAGCAGCCAAAAAAAAAAATAATAATCCTGTTCGATAAAGGCAATGCTCGATTGGGCTCGGCTCGTTTACAGCCTTGGAAGGACGGAGCATTTGACTCT